TATTAAATAACATAATCATGTGCCTATGACTAGTATAATAATTGATGTACATAAATCATTCTGTTAGTACTTTAATAATATAAAGAGCAATTTATTAAGTATATTATACAAATAAATGTTTTTCTGGAAAACATATTAATCTTAGAAGCAAAGTATAACAGACATAACAACATTATACTATCAGTTAAAATACTTTTAATTTTGGGCCCTCCCTTGTGGCGCAATGGATTGGGATGCAAGCGAGCCACAGCTGCTTCAATCCCCTGTCGGAGATGAACAGCAGCAGACCTCTCCTGACCCACCTGCTGCTCCCCTCAGTATTGTACTTTGTCAGTCTGCCTGTTCTTCTCCTCACCCTGTCTTAGGTGAAGCCTCTCAAAGCCCCTGCATCTCTGGCTTGTGCCCCAGTTCTGTATGCATAAATAAATAAATCTTTAAAAAAATACTTTTAATTTCAAATCAAGGTATCTACTTCATTTTAAAGTAAGGAAGTCTGAGTGTTTGGTATCTTTTGACTTTGGAGCAGGAAGAGTCTTGAAATAGGCTTTTATCAACACATCCACTTAGAAATAATACTCACTAATGTATTCAAACTACATATGTTATTAAAACTTGTCTTATAGAGAGTAGAGAAAGAAGTGGACTTGGCATCTGAGATCTTGAGTTTATTTTCTGGTTCGTGAAATGACAAGAGTGGTGATGAACTATCTACAGGGTGGCCGTAGGCCTCAGAAAGCATTATGCCTATAAAGTTACTTGAAAATAAAGATATCCAAATCCATGTTTTCCTACTCTCCAAATGTACAGTTTTTATGAAACTTTTTGACCTTGTGTAAGTGGAAATAGCATGAAGCAAGGAAGAGATTACATTGATTTGTATTTGTAAAGAATGTGTGAGTATTCTAAGACTGCCTCCCAAATCCTACCAAATAACACCTAAGATTGAAAATAACTCTCACACCGAGTAAAAGCAGAAAGATATGGTTAGTGCACAACCTGTATGAAGTAGTCTCCAGGAAAAGAGTTTGGCAGTGCCACTCTCATTCTGGGGCATGTGCTGCCTCTCTCCTTGTTAGTGGTGGCTGCAAGAGAAATGTCGAATTTCTTTTTGTTTTTTGACTTTTTTATAGAAATGAAAATCTTCAGATTTCTTTTGCCTAGCTAGCACATAAGTTACTAATGAAATCTTTCATAAAGCAAAATAATATTATACAAATTTTTAAAAATGGAGAATATCTGTATAAACTATTATTATTATTATTTTGACCAATCAAAATATGGCTACCTGGTACATTGTCCTGACCTATATTCAAATCCCTTAATTCACAGATATCTTAAAAGACTTAATTTGAATTTGTAGTGCAGTGAACTGAAAAGAACTTCTAAATTTCAAAATCTTGAAAAGTGTGTGTGTGTGTTGTGTGACTGTCTGTGTGAAGTGTCTGTCTACTTATCTACTTCTACCATGCCTATTAAATCCAGAAAATACTAAGAGTGAATTGCTAAATTGTTTGTGGTAACAATTCACGGGCAGATATAATTTAAAATCCCAAGTTTCTAGCATACAACAAGTGCAATTTTGAAGGCCAAGTTTTCAATATAACTTCTAAAGACTTGAAAATGAACCTAAACTCAAGCCACATAACATGACCCAGTTTGCCTTCCCTGAAGGGAAGAAAACCCTAAATTGAAGGCCTAGACTGTCTGAACACTGATGAATTTGCCTATAACATCCATCTGACTATAACAACCATCAAAAGCTGGGCTACTGTCTAGTAAAGGAATTTCTAGCTCTCAGGAACATCTTGAAGGCATGAGGTGAGAAACAGAGATGGGAGAGAGCAATAGAGAATGAGAAGAAGAAACACATTCTTAATGAAATCAATGAAACCCCAAAAGATAACTGGTCTAGATAAATCTCCAGTGATAATGAATGCCAGATGGAATCTGGGTCACTGGTTTAGCATCATGAGTTAGTATACATGGAACCAGGACTCTAGGATGCAGGAGGCAAGTAAAACTTTAAGTCCTGGAGAAGTTGCAAAGGGATATAATTGGCAGGTGTCTTCTATCTGTAAGGGAACGAAAAGACCTTAGCTTATACTTGGTCACACAAGTAAGATATTTAGTTATTTGCTATTTTTAAGCTGTCTGCTCTCCAAAAGGAGAAACAATCCTTTTTTTTTTCTTTTTTTTTTGTATTATGTAGTGTACCTGCACTTGATGTAAGGGAATTCAGCTAGACCAGTGATCTTCAAATGTGGGGAGGGAATAGCAGGACAAGAGGGGTGGGATGGTTAAGTTTGCCTTCAGGGGACATGTGCTAGTATTTTGATTGTCACAACTGAGATTGCTCTTGGCACCTTGTGGCTAGAGACCTGAGAAGCTTCTCGACAATATACAATTTACAGGACCGACTCTTCAGCAACAAATATCTGACTCAAAAGGCCAATAGTGCAGAGTTGAAAAAACAGATTGGCCTAAAAACAGATGGGCCAATCTCCCATCTACAAATAAGACACTGAACATCAGAGAGGTCAGTGACGCATGTCAGGTCACACAGTGAGCAAACAGAAGAGACAGGTCCTTTGAAGCTAAAAATGAAACTGTCGGAAAATAAAGCTTATGAAGAAGCTTAGATTTAAGATGTACTGAATAATTGTAAAAATCTTGAAAATATAGTGATACAAGGGAAATCTGGGCTACCAGAAAAAAGAAAATTTAGTTATGTAATACATAATTGATGGCATGTAATAAAAATTATTTTCATGATATTTCATTGAATCAAAGTACTGTCCAGCATAACAATTCTGAAACTTGAGCATGCTTCAGAGTCACCCAAGGACTTGATTAAAGGCAGGTGGCCCTGCCGCAGCTCCAAATGTTCAAACCCAATAAGTCCAGAGTCTGTATTCCTAGGGGAAGCTGATGTGCTGGTCACACTGACGCCACACTTTGAGAACCACTGGATTCACGCATGGTAGGAAATCAAAACAAGTTGGCTTAATATTTTAAGTATTTTTAAAACACAATCTCACCAAAATTGAAATATCACTTTGGCATAGATTAATTAATGCTAACTCACAGTTAAAAGGATTATAGTCTACAGATGGCAGAACCAAAACTAACTCTAGACTTCATTGAATTTTAACCCCTTACTGTAGAAATGAAGACATTAATAAACTTTTCCAAGTTTCATTACCAGAAGAATCCTTTCTAACAATAACCAATTAAAAAAAAAAAGGCCTTGATTGAAAATGATTTATAGACCATTTGAGTACCAACAGTGTTATCCTAAAGACACATAGGTTCAACTATATATATAACTATGTAACTACATGTGTATTCATTATTTTTAAGATTACATTTACATAGAATATTCTAAAGGCCAAACTGAGTATAACCTAGTTTGACGGGCTTTTGTGCCCAGCTAAATCTATTGGGAAAATACCTTATTGACATCAGTAATATAAAATCAGGCCTTGAGGGGTCTTAACTATCTCTTCAACTTATTTAGGAAAATATGTACATATTTAACCAGTTAAATATACCATAAAATGATGTATAGCATATTACCATGATAAATAATCATTGTGCTACTTGTGATCATGATTAAGAGAGTGAAAAGTACCCCAAAAGATTTATTTCAGTAATACACATTTTCCTCCCTTCAATTTAATAAAGGGCAGCTAGATACTTAAAACTACCTGATTACCTATTGAATCTGCTCTCAATAACCTGCCTCAGTCAGTTTCATTTAAAAACACCAAGTATGACTGAATATTCAGACTTCCATTTAGCTCCTCAACATCATAAAGACAGTTTACATAGCCCTTATTTTCTTAACTCATGACAAAGCATTTAACTTCATTTGCCAAGGACACACAGAAAACCAAACCCTCTCAACTGCACAACATGGGTCTTCAACTTTTTAAAACATGCACCTATCTTTTAAATCAGGTGCCATCTGTCCTATCATCTCTGGTTAAACCTCATTAAAATTCCTTGCCAATATCACACTGCTGCCGCAATCTTACCCTGCTTTTCTGCAGCATTCAAAAAGAGCCTGCTATTTTAACTAATTCCTATGCCAGGACACAGTGTGAGAATCTAAAACAGAATTAGTGCTACCCTGTTTCTACTTTTACTCACAGAGTGAATTACTGTTCGTGACAAACCTGGGATCAAGCCTCTAAGTCCCCTAACCACTTTACAGTTTGAACCAAAGCAGTTAACCTAACATCATTCAGTGCCAGTGTCCAATGGCACTCTTGCTGCAGTATTCACCTTGGAACTAAGTAGGCAGGATATGTTATTTGTTGAAGTCATCTATCTGCCAGCTTATGCCGTCTCCATTCTCATATTATCACAGTTACAGCAGAAGACAAATACAGGAAAGCATAAAGCTCATTTACCAGGGAAGTAAATTTGTACTCAGACAAGGGCAAGAACTGCAGTAAATCTCTTAGATCTAATAATGCTTTCCTACAACACCTCTGAGCAAATGGATTGTATTCAGAGTTTAAGTAGTCAAATCAACATTCATTCCTGGAAGGTTAGAGATGATGCTTGATAAGCAAACCCTAATATTTGATTTATTTACTTTATAAGAGTCTTAAAGCAAGGATTGCTAAGAGACTTACCATGCTTATTCAAGCATGCTGACAGAACTAGAATCTCTTAGTAATTTCTCGCTGCACCTCTCAGCATGGCTGACAGGCATCTGCCAAGACTATAGCATATAAACCACTGAATCATGCAAAAATATTTACCCCCAAAAGATGTAGTGAAAGCTCAGCTTCTTCCAGCTTCCATAGCCCCTGAAGTATTAATCTGAAGGAACAGTTGCATGAGTTTGCACAGGCCAGCACTGTGTCTCCTACACTTGACCTAGACAGCCTTACATAACGAAGCATCGGGGCTGGGGAGCTTGCTGAATGTCATCACCAGCAAGAGTAAGAAGTATTGGCAGCAGCTTGCAGGCGGGCAGGCTGGGAGTTTGCATGGAAATCATGAAGTCTCTCATGCCTTCATTTTTTGAAATGTTTTGGGAAGAGAATTAAGAATAGCCCAGAAACTGGTCTTGTTCTTTATATAGGAAGAATGACCAAAAACATAAAAGCCAAATCTTCCAGCAAATGCAAGACACTTCTTTCAGTGTTTGCAGTAAGTCTAACAGAATGAACTGCTATCTGTAAAGTACTGTGCAATGACATCTAAGATGAAGGAAATGGTAAAGCAAAATCATGATTCAAAGGCTGCCACGGAGAGCTTTTGTCTACGTTTAACTCATTGTGGTGAGTATAGGGGAATATGTGGCTATGTGATGAGGGTGATAGTTGCAGATGTGAGTTGTTTGGCTGGATGATAACTGAAAGATTGGTGAAGAGGTTCCTGTTCCTGAAACATCTTGTTACACACAAGATCATAGCTTTGTTTATTTTATATTTCAGATTCAGAATGGGGTAGGTTAAAATGGGTGTGTTTGAAGTATTTCGAGTTTCAGATATTTTCATGAAATAAGAAAGCTGGTGCCTCTTTGTGCTTTGCAGAAAACTGTCAGATGTGTTTGCTATTTCCATTGTGTGTAATGAAAAGCAAAATCTAAATTTCAGCATTCAGATTTTGCATATAATGAGTCTTTTTTTAGACTTTGAGAGCAGTTTCTCAAATGGGGCAAGAGGATCACTGTGCATTTGAAATCTGCTTTGTTACACTCACTCCTGGTTTGCTGGGAAAATACTTTTAAGAGTAAATTAAAAACAATGTACTCTCCACCTAATTTTCATTCAATTATCTCAAATGTGTATAATGCAAGTTATGTCCTTAAAGGCTAGAATATTTTTAAAACCAGTCCTCTATTCTAACCCTGAGTACATTGATAGGGTATTTTTATGAAAGATGGTTTTATTGTTTAATTATATATAAAATTGTGGTTTGATATATAGGATGTGGGCTAAGATGTGTAATTCCCGAGGCAACAGAAATAGAGAAGAAACCATGCATCATTTAAAAATAATGTTAATGTGCTGCTCTTAGCGAGGAAACTTGACTACTAATGTACCACATGGAGAATAGAGCAGGGAAATAAGAGAACTTTAGGTCTATAGAACAATGCAATGATCTAATTGCACTCCATCATTTAACCCCTAACAGAAATGAGGTAGAAAGAAGTTAAATGATGGCCTTAGGTAACACAGAGGAAGCGGTGAATGGGAAGTGGTTTTCCTGACATTCACCAACTTGTCTAGAGTGAATAATTGCCCTTTGATTCTATATTAAGGTCTGATTGTCTCATTAAAAAGACAGAAAATAAAGCACAGTAGCGTTAAATATCTGCTTTTAGCAGTTCAACTGGAAAAAATAAGTTCTATACTGCATGGAATGAGAAATTGGGTTCAGTTATTTCTCACAACTGCAGTGAACATATTGGTGCAACACTGAATTCAAATTTCAAATGCTGCAACAGTTTTCTAAGCATTAAATGATATGCACCATGTTTCAGTTCAGACTGTTTTGTTTTATCAATGTCAATTGTGGTGCTGAGCTTATCTGTCACTTGGAGAGCTTACGTACACAGAATAAACAGCCCATAGACAAAAACCTGAATATAGAATGTTTTTAGAAATATTTTGTCTTTGTACTTTCAAGTAAGCTGAATCTTTTGTAGTTAGCTCTTTTTCTCCCCTATATCCTGCCCCCAGCATAATGTTTACTAGGGTCTTAATAAATGTTTGCTGAATGAATAACTGGAGAGGTTAAATACATTCAAAAAATGATCCATGTATGCAAACTGTGTATGGAATAGCTTAGTAGAGTCATTTTAAGGACGCAGAGGACTCTTTGAAGGACTCTTTTTATGAATATTGGTAACTGCCATAAAAAATAAACACTTCTGAAAGATTTCTTTGGAAATTTTAATTTTTAAAAATTTATCATTTTCCTTAATGTTAATTGGATTCATTTGGTATAGGTTTGGCAGCTCATAGGAGATAATTCCATTTTCACTAGGCTTAATCAAATAGAGGTCTTGTTTATCTCAAGTGACATTAAGTCCAGTCAAGTGACATTAAGGTCAAGTAGCATTAAGGTAGGACTTCATAGTCCGGGAAGACACAGAATCCTTAGGGACTGAAACTCAGTTTTCCTTCATCTTAGCCCACTTCGTAGTGATTTTCATCTTATTTGTTGCTTTGTGGTCTAAAAGGATTGGCTTATCTGTCACATCCTGACTACATTCCAGGCTAGAGGACAGAAAGGGCGAAAGTTACTGCCAGCTAAACTATCTTTCCCCCAGAGCTTCCCAGAAGATGATCTAGAGACTTGATTTATAGTTTTTGGGTGGTAGCTGTGCTAAATGTCACCCCTGTCCTAGTGTCTGCAGTAATTAGGTGTTTAGTAGAGCCCATTGCCACCCCCAAGAAAGCATGGGTTCTGTTTTGAAGCAAAGGGGCTGCTTCCCTCCAAATCCATTTCCTTAACATAGAATTTTGGTAATTCTGGCAAATTCCTAAGCATTCAGAATGATCCTATAGTTTAAGCTGAATAATGTTCCAAGAAGAAGGAAAGGGCTTCTCATTTTATACCTGTTTTTTCTATGGAACAAATGATCCCATTTGTGCAATATAACATTTCTTGGGGCCCTCCCTGGTGGCAGAGTGGGTTAAAGTGCAGCACTGCCTTCCAGCAGCAGCTGCTTCAGTGCCAGTTCTATCCGCCGCCACGGAGGTGACCCACATGGTGTGGCAGTCCTCTCCTGACTTGCCCTCTGCTCCCCTCAGCAGTGTGCTTTGTCATTCTGCCTCTTCTGCTCCCCACTTTGTCTCTGGTGAATCCTCTCACAGCTTTTGTCCAGTACCCTGGTTAAATAAATCTTTAAAAAAAAAAAAGAATGTTTCTTGGGTAACAGATGGTTTTATAACTACATTATACTCAGATTGATGAAGAAATGTAAATAAACCTTTCAGAGTGAAAAAGGAAAACTATTTCATGTGCTAAACCATACTATACTCACTAAATATATGGTTGCCTAATGTCATTTCTTTCTGATAAGATTCTATGAAGGAATAAACAGACACAATTAGAATTCTAACTCTTGAAATGTCTGCCATTGCTGAGCAAAATGGGGTCACATTAATTCTTTTGGGAAAGAGATTTTTAACTCCTTTTCTTTTGTCATTTCTTCCTGTTTGCTTGGTGGAATCATCTAGTCTGAAATGCATGTGGCTCCTGCTGAGAAGGGTTTTAACAGGTAGCCCAATTAGGTTATAAGACTAGTTCTAAACCAGAAGCTGTTCTTTAGCTTGGAATGAGAAATAATACCGGTATTCCACTCCCCCCACCTCTTTATTAAGTAGACTATTTACTTATTTTTAATCGAGCTAATATTTGGATACTCCCATAAGGCATTATTAGTGTGGTACACCACCACCAATTCACCCATAGGCCACCAACATGTTCCACTGAGCTGCCTTCTCTGTGATTGCCCTCCACTTCCGCCTTGGTGCTTCAGTTCTATAGTCACCTATTTAAGTTTATCTTTATCTCACTCTTAGTTTAGTTACTTTATAGCCCACATATTAGAGACTCCATCCAGTATTTATCTTTCTCCTGATTTATTTCAGTTATCATTATCCCCCAATTCCATTCATGTTGTCACAGATGCCATGAGTCTATCTTTTTTGATCACTGTGTAGTATTCCACATCTTCCTGATCCACTCATTTGTTTTGGGGCTCTTAGTTGTTTCCATAGTTTGGCTATAGTAAATATAGTTGTAATAAATATGGGAGTGTGAAAGAGCTGCAATAAACATAAGAGTGCGAGTTTCCTTTCAAATTAGAGTTTTTGAATTTTTGGGTAGATGCCTAGGAATGTAATTACTGGTCAAGTGGCAGATCAATTTTCAATGTTTTGAGATGCCTCCATACTTCTTCCTATTAGAGCTGGATCCAGTTCGTATTACCACCAACAGTGTAGAAGGGCTCCCTTTTCTCCACATTTTTGCCAGCATTTGTTGTTTCTGGTCTTTTTTATATGAGTCATTCTCACAGGTGTAAGATGGTATCTCCTGTGGTCTTTATTTGTATTTCTCTAATAATAATTGTTCATAGTGATTCTTCAGAGAAGCCTGACACTAGCCTGCTTGGGCTACCTTTATCTGCCTTACTCCCTTGCCAGCTTCAATATTCTTTCTTCTTCTTGAACTCTTTCAAGTTTCACTACTGTATGCTTTATTTACAGTCTTGCTTTATTTAAGTATGCCAGGATTTTATTAGTTTTGTACAGGTATTCTCTTCTCTGGGTTTGGAAAGTTTTCTCTGTTATTTCTTTAAATATTATTTCCAAATCACAATTTATGAATCCAAATCACCTTGAAATAAACCATTCAGAAAAAGATTTACTATTCCTTTAGTCTCTATGTCACTGAAAAGTCACATGGACCATGGTATTAATTTTTCTGTCTTACAGGAATAAATAGGGGAAATTCTTACACTATGTACAGCCTAACTAGAGACAACAAACTAATATGTATTCTTGCAGGTTTATAAGTTGCAAACGCATAAAGTTTCTTCATTTCTCTATAAATTATTTAATTTCTATTTTAATGTCACATTTTTTTCTAATGGCATAAATTGTTATTGCTAGGTCAGCCCAACTACTTTTGTACATTTTCAGTTTTCTCAGGTCTAACTTAGTAAAATGTGAGATTTTAATTTTTTCTCTGCATGATAATGAGAGGAACATTAGCTTCAGCAGTAAATAAACACAAAAATGTCTTGGTGGCATCATACAATGAAATTCTTACTTACTATGCAAAATGTTGTTGTTGGGTTTTTGTTGTTGTTTTTGGTAGTTCTGGCTGACAAGTAGCCTTCCAAAGGATTGTTCATGAGTCCCTAATCTTTCTATCTTTTGCCTTTTCTACCCTCTAGATATTCAGAGTAAGATAACAGATGAAAAAGATGATCATTGAGAATTACTCCTACCTCTTTAACCTAGAAAGAAGACACATGGCTAACTTATGTTTCTATGGTAAGAGATAGAAGTAAAAAGTAAAAAATTGAGAAATGGCTCTCTCTGTACAGATACTTCTCAGAAAGGAACATAAGTATCATGGCCACCAAAATATCTCTGCCTTACTTTTATATTCACAGTTGAAGTATTTTCTAAAAACCATCTTGTGCTAATTTTCACCTTTTGAGATTAGAGAACTGAAAGTATTTAAATCTTGTGTGGAGGATTTTTTTCTTTGGGTTAGTGGTATGATTGATTATATTTTGTCCCTGAAAATGGAATCACATCTTTCTTTGTTGTTGTTGTTCTACATGCAGGAATCAAGGAAAACAGCATCGATTTAAAATTTTTTGTGCTAGTAACTAGGTTTCAGAGCTTTACTGTATTTTAAATAAAGTACTTCAAATTATAATGATTCCACATGCTTTGGCAAGCACGCTGGGGTACATGAACCTTGAAAGATCATTTCTTAACCTCTTATGATCATAATATCCTGTTAATATTTTGGATATCACTTCTGGATTTCAGGTGCAACATGAGAAAGATAAGGGGGAAGGGTCTAGAGTTGATAGCAGGGAAGAAAAGTTCTCAGAAATTCTCAGCAAATGTATTCCCATATCTTACTGAGCAGAATTGTTATATGGCCCCTCATAGCAGAGAGGATGGTGGCAGGAATGACTACTTCTAAGAATGGGCTAAAAAATAATTTCAAACAAAGTTGGGGTTCTCTTAATAAAGACGGGAGAGAATAACAGTGTCAGCCTCAACATTAATAGTCAAACTAATTAGCCTGAAGTAATTAGAAACTTGTTTTACACTTGCCAGAGGGCTTAATATCAGTGTGGGATGTGTGGGTGAGAGAGTTGAGGGGGCAGGGAAAAGAGGAGAAGTGAAAGGGACAGAGAGAGAGAGAGACATAGGGTAAGAAACATGGCCATGATCTGACATAAAAAATCAAGGGTACTAAAAGACACAGAGAGCATTCTAGATAAAAGAAAATTCCAGATAGCTCTAAGATGAATGCTGAAAGAATTAAAATATAAAGACTTTTCAATAAGTAGTATGAAAAATATGTGCTTGGAACAGGTTAGTTTATAATTAGTGTTCTGGAGCCGTGTTGGGATTGACAAAGATGGAACTCACTCAGTAGGCACAGTGGTGACTTAAGTGATATCTTTTTTTTTTTTTTAAGATTTATTTATTTATGCATACAGAACTTGGAGTACAGGCCAGAGGTACAAGGGCAGTGAGAGGATTCACCAGAGACAGAGTAGGGAGCAGAACAGACAGATGGAGGAAGTACACTGCTGAGGGGAGCAGTGGGTCAGGAGAGGTCTGCAGCGCCATGTGGATCACCTCCTGGGCAAGTGGGGATCGAACTCATGTGGAAGTGGCTTTAGCTTCTTAGTGCTGTGCTTTAACCTACTGCACCACCAGGGAGGGACCTTGAGTGATATCTTTTATAAAGAAGCTGGGATAAAGCAACCATACTTTAGTGAGGTGACAATCTAGAGTCCATCTAAACATGTGGAAAATTACTTTTTTTTTTTTTTAAGATTTACTTACTTATAAATACAAAAACTGGGGTACAGGCCAGAAGTGCAGGGGTGAGATGCTTCACCAGAGACAGGGCGGGGAACAGAACAGGCAGAACAACAAAGTACACTGTGGAGGGAAGCAGCAGGCAGGTCAGGAGTGGTCTGCCACACCATGTGGGTCACCTCCAGAGTGGAGATCGAGCTCATACTGAAATGGCTTTAGCTGGCTGTGCTTTTAACCCACTGTGCCACCAGGGAGGGTCTAAGGATTGAATGTTTTAAGTTTGACTTTATCTGACTTCCTGTTTCATTTCTCTACACCCCCATGCAAGTGACACCATCTGGTATACGTTTTCAAATAAACAAGAGAATCATCTAGGTCATTTTATTTGTGTGAAGGGAGGGTGGGAAGAGATGGCTGCCTGGGAAAAAGAGCTAAGTGTTCAGTTTTGGTGTTTTCCCTTCCCAAGTTGATTTCCCAGTTGGGCTCTCAGAACGTACAGGCCTTGGTTCATTATCCCATGTTCATTGGTTATCTGGTTATCTGGTTCATTAGATTATGTTGAATGTAGCCCTTACGTGCAGCTATGACTGCATTGGCTTTTCTTTTGAGAATCCTCACATTCTATTTCTAGTCAGTCTTCACAACCTTATTTAGTAGTTCATGTCTAGATCTCTGAACAACCTTATTCAGTAGTTCATGTCTAGATCTCTGAACAATTTTCAGACCAAATTAAAAGAAAGCACTTTACTTTCTTACCCACTGCCTGCACTCTCATTGAATTGCTTATATAAGGAATCTTTATGCTATTTCATGTCTCTTTACATTTACTCAGGTTGTTCTTGCTGAGGGGACCATTCAACTCCCTTCACTTCAATTTCTCCCTTTTACCTCATCCTATCTTCTGTTTTTTTTTTTTTTCTGACAGCAGTGAAATCTATTAATTGCAAGTTTTTTTTTTTTACCCAGTACTTTCTGATTAATCCCACCTAAGTGGAAATTACAACTCCTAGTTGAGATAATTCAGTGGCTTATACAACCTTAGGGTGCTTACATTATACTTTATTAAATATTTTTATCTCATATCACCATCTTCAACTAACTTATTAACTATTTAAAAACCAAGACTGTAACTTATTCAGCTTTGAATTACCAGCACCAAAATAAAGCCTACCAAAAACATGGTATACATGCAATAATGTTCACTGCAATAAAAGTTATGATTAGTAAAGAGAATTAAAATAAGCCACAAATACTTATAAAAAGTTCAATATATCTAAACCGGATGTATTGAATTGAAAGTAATAAGAATAATGATATATCTCATTTAAAAGTTGCTTTATTTATAAGGGACCACCAGATTTTCATTGAAAATGTCACTTAATAGCTATCTTTATAGTCAGTTTTTCCAGAAAAAACATTTTCTAAAAATAAGCAAAGTATATACTTCAAAAGTTGATTTACCGCAATGGCTGGCCTTTTTTTACTTTTTTTAAGCAAATAATCTGGTTATAATAATAGCTCTGTTTTGACTATTAACTACATATTTCATTAAATCCTTATTAGAAATTAAAAGAAATTATTCTCTATTAAGAAGCTAAGCACTGATAGTCTACTTTATAATGATACTCTAAAATTATATGTTTTAAATTTTAAAGTAAATATGTTAGTCCTATGTGATATATTTTAGTTTCCCAAAGTTCTTCTTGATTATTATGTTATTCTTTTAGTAACCCTGTTGCAGGTATTAGGCAGATGCCACCAGCAGCTCAACCTCTCCTTTCATTAAAAAAGGATGGAAAAGATCCTCAAATTAATTTTATCTTTTGTACACTTTACATATTCTGATCGACTATTTTCAGATTAATAATCTCTTTTTTTAAAGATTTATTTATGCATACAGAACTAGGGTACAAGTCAGGGGTGCAGGGGTGGTGTGAGGAATCACCCTCAGAGACAGAGTGGGGAACAGAGCAGGCAGATCCTCTAAGTACACTGCTGAGGGGAGCAGCGGGCAGTCAGGAGAGGTCAGCAGTACGCGGAGATGGGGTAGGGCCCAACTAACTCTTTCTTTCTAACTAATTACTTTACTTTTACCATTTAGATTTCCTCAGGATAGGCCATGGTTCAACCTGTGCTCAGTAAAATTTTTAGTATACCAGCAAAGCAAGCAATCAACAAACATTTCTTGTGCTGCCCCTCCTCTTCTACAAAGTCCTCAAGCATTTTAGTCAGAATTCTAAATTAAGCTATTGTATTTGGATCCCATTTTTAGATATGCTGCCTTCAAATAGCAAGTCGGCTCCCTCATCCATTTTCATGTGAAAGTTTATAAGGACACAGAACTCTAAACTAGCGGAGTTCCTTCTGCTTAAATTCAGAGCTCTAGAAGTAGAGAAATAAGCCTGTGGATATGGAACCGGATAACCCAGGCCCATTTGTTTGTTCTGTAGGCCTCATCTCATTCCCACCTCTGCAACTTTAAAGTCAAGAGGAAGGTTTGAAATAGCATATGAGACTTGCCTGAAGCCAATAGCTGCTTGATTCTAGGACTTGGTCAACAAATACTTTTTTGATGAGGTCAAGTAAATGAAAAACCAAATATTGCAATGAACAAAAATAGTCACTACTTTTTATAGCTATAGCTGGATTATAAAACATGGCAGTGTGTTTTGTTTAGCAAAACCTTTAAACAATATTTTTATATTTTAGTTGCATTGTATATACTAAGTCATCCTCCTCTTTCATTGCTGAAGTAGTTGATGACACTGTTGGGCTACTGGTAGGTAAGCATTAATGATAATTTATATCTTTAAAAGGTGCATAATATAAAGCAAATTCATGTATTTGTTCCCCTACATATGTAGAACATTGCCAGACCCACAATAAGATCTATCAATTAGTCACTCACCTGATTTCATAACCCTATAGTGACAGAGGCCAGGACACAACTCAGGGCACAGAATTCTATGTGCAGTCTTCTTTGCAATCCATTCCACCATAGGATTCATCTAATCAAGTGCACGGCTAGGTGGAGGTGAGGGGTATTAAAAATTCACTCCATTCAGAGTCAGAACTTTATCTGAACATGATTAGGCTTTTATTTGAGGTTTTTAGATGATGGCCACATAGGAGTATCTATCTCTTAAAAAGACCATGCAAGTGCTCCAAGGTGGGAAACACTGAGCTTTTGTAGGCAATGCTGCCTCCTACAGGTCAACCAATACAGTTCTTAAAAGAGGGAAAAAATACATGTGAAAGGGAGGGATGTCTGCATATCATTACAGAGATAGATGGTCATCTTTGAGACCAGAGATAGATGGTCATCTTTGAGATCCGGTATCGTTTATCAGTCTTTATGTGAAAATTTGTATTTTCTCAGGTTTGGACTCTCTAGAGTTCTAAGTTCTGTGGAGAGCAAGATTTCACTTATAACTGAGGTCAAATGCATATGGCCACAATATGAATTTACTAGGGGG